TATTTCAGTTGGAAAATAGGGTCGTTACAATTTACCACCCAAAATCTTAGTTTAAATCATCAATTAATGGATCAAATATAAAAAATAAAATAATAATAAAAAGAATTGCGGTTGTCGGCAAGACCGATAACTTCGGTGAACATCGGAGTTTTCGTTCGCACAGGACCAACGAAGCGCGTCCGACGTCGGGATAACCACGAGAACCAAACCCGACCTTCAGCAACTTTCAAGACACTTGCAAGAAGAAAAACTAGTGAGAAAAACGAGGGAGAGAGAGAGAGAGAGGGAACCAACGAAGCTCCGATGAAGCCAAACCTGATGAAATCCATGTAAAAACCTTTGATTTACACAACAAAAACAGTCCCAGAGACCTTTACACACACCGGGAATAGATTTCGACGTTGTTTACACGTCGTACACCGTCGGATTTCTGAATACTCTTAGATCCGAAAGTGTTAGGCCCTTACGAACCAAACAAACACCATAAACGAGATTTAGAGGAGGAGACTCGAAAACAGAGAAAAAAGAAGGAAAAAGGCTGTTGGAACGACATGATCGATGAGAGAGATCGAGTTGTCAGAAAACTCTCTAGTAATCGGGTGGGGAGACAAAGTCCGACCCGAGCTTCGACCAACAACCTAAAACCCCTCGGCCCAAAGACAGTCATTGCCTCGATCTAGCCCGGTCCACGCCTCGGCCTAATTCGTCACAAGCGACCCGAAGCTACAACCCAAACCCTCTTGGCCAAACGATTTAACCCTAGGCCCACCGAAACAAACCGCAGCCCAACAACAAAGTTGAGCCTAGACCCATTATTGCACCCCGACAACCCAAGATTGTCTGCACTCTCATCGCCTCCTGATTGTGTTACATGTCAGCTTTTGGCGCAAAAAGCCCTTGGCTCCAGCAGCTCAATTAGCTCCGCGGTGGCTTATTCGGCTTGGAAAACCTATTTCTAACCTGTTCGGCACCGCTCTGACCCTCTCGAACTTAATTTTGACCCCGTTTAAGGTAAAATAGATCATTTTAAGCCGTATTTCACAAATAGTTGAAAATTAGTTATGTTTGTGAAATACTTTCAAATGTGTCAAATGATCCAATAGGAACTAACCACCAACGGAAGTGTAGGACGTATACGAGGAGTTAGGAGCTTACATTTATATTTTAGAAGCTTACGTATACGAGGAGGTAGGACGTACACTAACCTATTTGTGAACGTTTGCAAGGACTCTAGAAGAACCTCTAGCTATGCAAAATCCAACATTGTTGGCGCTTATCATCACCTCTCTACACCTCGGGTTTCTAATGTGGTACTCTAAATCTCAAGGGTAGTTAAAAATATTTAGTTAGGGGCCTTGGCTTCCAGAATCAATCAATCAATACTTCCAAGTCCATAACAGTCGAGGGCTAAAGGGTCTCTCCCTCTAAGTATCGCTCACGACACCATAGACTGTCACATCAGAAGGGTCCCCTAACTAAACTCAACTCAACCCCTACAAGAGTTCACCCTAGGCATATCTCAACACTACAACTTATCAATCATATCTTAAGTTCACACAATCATTCAACATAAGTTTATGTATGATTAACAACACATACAGCCATACAAGCTCAACAGAGAAATATCATCCATCAACACCCGGAGCGCATATACACAAATCCTCCAGTTCACCCACATAGTATGAACAGATAAAAGCAGTAGAAAGATAGTCCAGCAAGCATACAAACATCGAGTACTAAATCTCATAAAGGCTGCAAGTCCAACGGATATAAATTGAACTTTATAAGTACAGAGGATCTTTAGATCTAGCTACCTAGGGACAATTTGCTCTAGCATGCATGCAAAACCAAGCGTACCCTACAAGTATTACTTCATAAATTCGTCCGTGTGGTTACTTACGGGAATGAATCGTGCCCTTCGAAGCTTATTTTTTTGGCTAATTAAGAGCTCCAAAACTCTTGAAAGTTCGCTGATAGGTCCTAAATAAAGTTAGACTTAAATCAGATTAAAAATCGGGAATTACAAATAAACAAAAAGAAAGTAAAAGGAAAGAAAAGTAAGGTAAAAGACAAAAATACCATTTAATTAAAACAAAAGAGAGAGAAAGTTTTGTTTCAAATTATTACAAAAGGAATTACAAATAAAAATGAAATACAAAAGACTCTAAAAGACCGACAATGGACTGACACTCTGGAACGACAACCCTCTGTGACAGTGCAGCTCTCTAACACCTCCCTGTTGGGTTTTATATTCTAAAACTCACAGTTTGTAAGCAAAAACATATTCTATTTTCAATAAAGTTATTATTGATGTTTATTCAGTAAAGATCGTTATTAAATAAAGTGAATTTTATGATCATTAATCTAAATCCAATAAACTAAGAATACTCTGGATATATTATGATTACTTGAACTATATGTAAAGACATAAGAGTGGATCAAGTTTAAGTATATAGTCAAAATAACCTATAGTACATGGATAAGGCTGAGTACCTTATCCTAGGGACACTATAAATGTGGCCCACTTTTATATATGATATAAACAATGTGATCACTAAATTGTACATGTGGAGACATGTGAGTGGGGGCGTCCTATGCAATGAGTATTGCATAAGATAGAACCATGAATAAAATCACTCTCACTTTATAATGTCGTTTACTGTTGAGACTAATTTTTTTCATTCGATGACCTAGGTAACTCGATCATAATCCTGAGTTAACTATGAACTCCTGTTTATTTGGAATTATCCTTAGATTTTTATGGGTGAGAGTGGCTCGAGTTCGCCGACTCAATGAGCCTTCCATTTCAAGGGAAAGACTGGGTGAATAGCTGGGGACATAGGGTGTAAGATGGAATTCACTCCTACCCGCTTTTAGGGATAGTAGAGAGGTTGTTCCCTTAAGTACTTACTCCAAGTCTTGAACAAGGGGCCCCACCCTCTCATTTGCCCGAGAGGGATTCGGTTTGGTGGTTGGACCACAAACCAATTGTTCATTAGAGGATTAGTGAGACTTAAGGAACAAGAAGTAACTTTAGGGATAAAATGGTAAATTGACCAATCTCTAATTACGAACAACCTGTGAAGGATCGACTTACTAATCGTGGTTATATCAAATGGACAGAAATATATCTATAATGAGGGGAGTGCAACTACGAGGCTATAGTGGAGTGTCCTAGTAGTTGACAAATGTTGGTTAACAAGGTTAATGAGTTTAGCCAGTTAATCTCGGATCTTTGGAGCCCATTATCTGTAGGTCCATTAGGTCCCTCTGTTAGCTCATATCGGACTAAACCATAGAATAGTGTGATGAGTGAGTTCGAATTCAAATTAGGGAATATGCGCTACATATATACGATATATTTAACCGCATTTTTGTTTTAATTATGAATTAAACAAAAAGAAAGAATCGGAGATATTTAAATAAGATTTAAATAATTTAATTACAAATAGGGATTCATAATCAAAATGTTTTGGTATTTATTGGGATTGACATTTTATTTAATGTTAAATACTAATTAAATTGTTTAATTAATCATTTAATATTATTTTAATTTGAAATTAATTATTCAATTTACTATTAAATATTAATTAAATCGTTAATTAATCATTTAATATTACTTTAATTTGAAATTAATTATTCAAATTAATTGTTGAATTAAAATGAAGAAAGTCAAAATGTTGACTTTAATGGAAAAATGAAGAAAGTCAAAATTTGGTTTAACATTAAAAATTAAACTTGCATGCTTGCCAAATAAATTAAACTTGCATGCTTGCCAAATAAATCCCACAAATTTGAGTGGAATTTTGAGTGTCAAAATTTGGTTAACTCAAACTTGCATGCTTGCCACATAATCTCAAACATTTGAGTGGAATTTTGAGTGTCAAAATTTGATGATCTCAAATTTGTATGAACATGCAAACATAACTCTATAAATAGAGTGATCAAGGTACATGGAAGGTCTCCCTAGTAAAAACCTTGAGAAAAACTCTCACAAACTCTCTCTTCATATATACTAAATCCCTCTCAAATTTAGTCACTCACCAGATTCCACAATCCTATTCTAAGGCCGGAGAATAGTGGAGAAGACGCTAGTGGTGGTTTGAAACCGGTTCGTGAGGAAAAAAAAATTTGAACTATAAAAGGTGAGTACTCCAACACCTTGAGTTTTAATACTTATGAACATGCTAGTTATTAACTATAATTGATGTTCTAAGAGATCCTTAAGATCTAAATTGCTTTCGCATGTGTTATATTAACTCCATCACAACCCACCTCGACCGGTATCTGAAAAAAAAAAAAAGGGGAATCGGGGTGAAAAAATATACTCAGTAAGCAACCTACGTGTAGGCTCTTAATCGCATCCAAGTTTAGGAGAGAACCACCAACTATGCTCTAGGCCCTAGAATCTCGGTACTCTCAGTACACAGTACGGGGTGGAAGGACTTAACCTTTGAAGCGATATTCAGTGTTTGAGGATGAGGTGCTCCCTCATAACTACATGTACCCCTCGTACAACCCATCTAGAATTAGTCACTACATGGTCAACGTCCATCCACAGGACAAACTCATCATGCAGGCGACCTTGACCCACCCTCGTGATCAACATCTTACCATAAGACGGATCCCCATGCAGAGTAGTCGATCTACCACTAAGTAACAATTCCCTAATAGCGTCTCACCAAGCTCAACGGTACCATACCTTAGTAGGAAGGGAAGAGTAACACCTCCTTAACTGGCGTCTCGCCTAGCACAACAGTACCACACTAGAGTAGGAAGGGAAGTGGAGTATACTCGAACGCTATACTAGCTACTATCGACTAAGGGATTAACTCTCTACACTTCAGGGTCCTAACGTGGTTCTCTATGTCTCAATGGTAGTTAAAACTATTGAGTTTAGGGCCATGACTTCCAGATTCACTCAATTAAGAGTTTCAAGTCCATAACAATCTAGGGTTAAAGAGTCTCTCCCTCTAAGCGCCCCTCACGACACCACTGACCGTAACATCGGGAGGGTCCCCCATCTAAACCCAACTAAACCCCTACAAGAGTACACCCTAGGCATAACACAACACTACAGTTTATCATTCATATCATAAGTTCACGCAATCATTCAACAGGAGCTTATGTATGATTAAAAATTCATGCAGTCATACAAGCTCAACGGAGCGTTAACATTCATCAACACTCGGATCACAGATACACAGTTTCTCTCGTTTGCCAACATAGTATGACAGATTAAAGCAGTAGTAAGATAGTCCAGCAAGCATACAAACATCAAGTGTGAAAACACATTAGGGCAACAAGTCCAAAAGATATATATATTTAACTTCATAAGTACAGAGAATCATTAGATCTAGCCACCTAGGGGTAATTTTCTCTAGCATGCATGCAAAACCAAGCGCACCCTACAAGTATTACTTCCTAATTCTGTGCGGTTACTTATCGGAATGGAGCGTGCCCTACGAAGCTTACTTTTAGGCTAATTGGGAGCTCCAATCACATGAAAGTTTGCTGATAGGTCTTAAATCAAGTTAAATTTAGATGAGTACCAAAATCGAGATGAAAAATAGTCGAATGAAAGTTAAATCAGGATAAAAGGGGTCCCACGCACTGATTCACACGCCCACGTGCTAGAGGGAGTCACCCACGTGCACAAACGAGCGTGTACAGACGCCCATGAGGGAGGGAAGACGCGGTGGTGCGCTTAACACTTGTCGCCGACTGAATGGTTCATACGACTTTGATGGTGTGGGTTCGATCCCTGAAGCACACGGCGGACGCTGGCAAGGCATCGGGTCGGGAGGCCGGGTCGTGCGCGGGTTCTCGTGTCTGGAGCGAGTATCGATCTTTTAATCCTACCCGACGTAGTATTTTCCTAATCTTTTATAAATCAATGCACGCGTGACACGCGTCCTCATTTCCGGCGACGCGTAGACCTCTCCCTGCCTAACATGCGTCCCTCTGCCGTTCGTCTTCTTCCTCTCAACTCTGCGATTTTCCAGAAAATCGATTATTTACCATTTTCTTTGCATTTTTCTATTTCTTTCACAAGATTTGTAGAGTTTATATTTGTCTACAAGTACGTATTTTTCTTGTAATTTATTTCTAATCATGGTGATAATTAGCTCAGTCCAAAGTTATCAAGAAACATCAATACCTACATTTTTTGACGAACTCCAGAACTACTATTTCCAATATGCTCAAATTAATATGCTCAAATTTCAAAATTTAATGCTCAATATTTCTCACAGATCTGAGGAAAATCTGAAAACAACGATTCAAGAACTTACATATGGATTTTTTTCGTTCCTTGACGGTTTTGGACGATTCAATGGCGTTGAATGCTTTCTATAGGTTCTGTGAAGGATTTTTTTAAGAGATCTCGACTGGAATCGGACTCCTTGTGGCTATTTTTCTAATTTTTTAAAAGATCTCGACTGGGGTTGACCTTGACCATTTTTCTAATTTTCCACCATTTTTTTTTCTTTTTATATTTTTGTATTTCTAAATTTTTTTCTCTTTCTACCCCATCTCAAAATTCTGTCCCTAAATGAAATCTGGACATTCAACTTAGAAAAAAAAATTAGGTTTTGGGTTTATTGAGATATAATATTTAGAGTATATATTATTTATAAAATATATCTTAAATATTATATCTTAATATTATTTATTTATGATTTGATTTACCGTATATTTTATTTTATTTTCAGTATTTAATTATTTTATATTTTCCTCGTTTGTTGCTAGCTTGTATCCTATTTAAAAGATATCAATATCAATGAGAAGATACATCTTTCCAATCGGAGATCGGGTGTTACAATTTATGCCATGATTGTTAAATTATATAATGTTAATCTTCATAGGCAAGGGAGCTTTTGAATAAAAGGTAAACAAATCGTATTATAAAAGTTAGAATAAATTATACTTTTACTATTCCGTTTCATTTTCTTTTTAAAAGAATAACAATATCTCTTTTATGAAATTTACTATTTTTTGTTTTTTTTCTTTTTAGCAAAATTGTCTAATAGTTAGTCACAGTAGGTATTGAATTGAGGAGAGATATTTGGGGGAGGAGTTGTCTCAATGAATATTACCCTTGATTTCTAAAACAACAAAAATATAATCTTCTAAAATTTTAAATAAAAATTGAGATTTACCTATTGTGATATAATTTAAACATATTCATATACATATACCATTTTTATCTAAAAAATTATGTAGAAACTCTATTGTGATATAATTTAAACATATACATAATATGCTTTAAATATTTGTTTTACTTCACCAAAATTTTACTATATTTATTGGGTCACCATTTGTGCTTTATGAAAACTCCCATATAAGCCTGGATAAATTTAGATAAAAATCCTCTAATTTAGATACCCAATATTCTAGGAGATCCCTAATTAATTTTGATGAAGAATATGAGGTTAAAATTCTAGTATATCACATTGAATGCTTAGAAAATGCATGCTAAATAGATGTTATCTATTAAACCTGTAACGACATGTAATTTTCTACTTAATTTAAGGTTGTCGCTGTATACATATCATGATCATTGAATGCAGAAATACTTCATTTGAACTTTCATAAACCGTCACGTTCATCTTAAAACATAGCCATTGACTTATGTGGTTTGAAAACACCTCTAAAAGATACACAACAAAAGACTAAACCAAATAAATAAAATTTTAAATTAAAGACATCCTATTCTAGCCTAAGTCTAAGAAAATAAATACGATTACCCTTTGCATGTTCCATGGTCTCAAGTTGTGATGTCTCGTCAGTCGTACATGAATGTCTTGCCTTAACCTGAAACATAAGTGACTTAAGTATTTAAATAAATAATTAGTAAGTCACCCCACTATTGGGGCTTTAAATGCAAGAACATGCGAATGTAATGACTTGTCTTTTCAGTCTATTTTCCTTCGGTACTATCGTAACGAGTAACTTGGACGTGTATGCCACATACTCTACACACAGCCCATACGTGCGAGTATGGACTCACCAGTCAGTTCGCACACCGTTGGGCCACTTTCCTTATCGTGCGAGCATACTCTAGGATCTACTTAAACTTGACACCGTTAGAACTAGTAACCAGCACGACAAAATTAGGTTAAACATAATGTTTGTTTTCTTGCCTAACAGTCGTAGCATTATAATAAACATAATGAACGTTTTTCTGCTTGTTCATCGTAGCATTATGATAACCATAATGATTGTTTTTCTGCCTCGTAACGTACACGTCTGTACTATCGTGAAGGGTAAGAGGTATCCCCAATCCATGAACACACAATAAGAAATGAGGTCCCAACATTTTTCTATTTTTATTATCATTTAATACAACCCCGCTAGTATTCCGTACATATCATATCATTTCTCATATCATTTCACATATTTTTTATGCATATGTCGAAATTGTATTTCATGCTAGTTCGTCGTTTTGCATGTCAATCACATCATATCATTCAAATTACATAAATATATTATATCATAACATTCCATGCTTCTAGATATAACAATTTTCATCATTTACATATCATACCATAACATATCGCATCACAATATATCATATCATAAACATGTAAATTATCACATATCTCGTACCATAACATATTTCATATCATTTTCATATCAAATCATAAAATATATGTATATGTATATATATATATATATATCCGTCATTCATGTCATATCATAATCATATCATATCTTAAACATTTTGTTGTCATATCGCTCTCTAACTTATCAATAGCCTTAACATTCTTATATCTATCATAATCATATCATTACATGAACGTACCTTAGTCATATCCTTACAGGAACGTATCCTAACGCTATCGTTCTATCAATCTATCATCATCCTTATTTTTAGAGTCATCCTAACATTATCGTTTTATCGTTCAATGCTTAATTTTAAAGCATATTGCTTTCTAAGTATTCTTAAATCAATTTTTTGAAACTCGGAATTTCTATACTTGTGTTGATTGGAAAACTACTTTAGAATTCATTTTACTTTCCATCTATCGTTTTTCTCATTCGACTTGGTGGAAAGTAAATGAATTTAAATAAATAATTTTATCAAAAGTTGTTCAGTATATTTTATCGTGTTTGCAATAGCTTCTGGATCAACTTTTAGTATTCATGAGAGAATTCTTAATTAATTTAGGAGTTCTTTAACACATAAAACTATTTTATAAAACTAATCATTTTTATTGTTTTTTTATTTTGATGATCTATCATTTCCTTTAGATCCCTATTTAGTTGTATTTAGTTCTATAATAACCTAGAATTATGTTAAGATGTTACAATTTTCTCTTGTTATTGTTGATAACTTTTTTTTTTTTAAATATTATAGATGGATTTGTGTTTGTTGAACTTTTAATACTTTTTTACCTAAAATTCTATGGAATAATTATGAAATGTGGATAAATAAATTTTAAATTTTTTTTTTTTAGAGTTGACAACCCGACAACCCAACCCGAAAATTTTCGGGTTGGGTTGGGTTGGTTTGAAAATTTTCGGGTTGGGTTGGGTTATCAATCCAACCAACCCGAACTTTTGGTTGGTCAAAAAAATCCCTCAACCCAACCCAACCCAACTCAGACCATGTACATCCCTAATTTTTATCTCGATTATTTCCTTCTTCATAGTTAGTTTTAGTCAATTTCTTTTAATGAATTATTACTTCCTCTTTAAAAATGGCTATGACATTTCCTAAAACTCAGTACAAAATTCTTATACTTTAATCTCTCATTCAAAACTAATTAATGGTAATCAAATTAATATCCTTCAATAAAATAAAATAATTAACTATAACCAAATTAATATAGTTTAATAAAAAAAGGAAGACTCCTGACCTCTTCAAATGACATAAAGTGTAACTAAATCTAAACATTTTTTTTGTTTGTTTTTGTCCATACCCTTAGATGTGCTTAAATTTTTCTTTTTATCTGTTTGTTTGTACAGGAATGGCATTCTTAATAAGTTACTGTTTTTTTCTATGCAGACTAGTCATTCA